TTTTTGAACTAGGAGACTTCAAATAGGATTATTGGTTAAATTTCAGGATTATTTGAATCTGGAATATCTATTTGGAACAATGGTAATATGAGAATGAAAATAAAAAACCTCAATAACTATTTTGAGCATCAGGCAGCGGAAACAATTTCAAAACCCATAATTTATGGCATTGAGGGCCTAGCTCTTGAGAAACGGTACATTGCTTACAATATGCATGACATTGCAAAATTGTTTACTCAAACTCAAGCAAAAATTTATAAATTAATCACAACAAATAATAAAAAGTTAAGGAAGAAATTTGTACTGATTATGGGAGTTGTGTTTACTATAACTAACTTATTTGGGAACACTGAAAAAGGAAAATTGCCTGAATTTATTAAAGATGAATGGTTAGCTAACTGATATTGCCCTCAGTATATAACAAACTATGGCTAACTGGCACTATGTTGACTCATAAACAAATTCCTTTTTGGTATCATTCATACTTTGGGATTAGTGTCACCGCATCCTTGGAGGCACCTCATTCAAAACAATCTTGCTTCATGTCTAGATCCATATACATTTCTTTTATGGTATCACTACCAGTATTTCCTCAAACAGTATTTGACAAATTGGTTACTGTCCATTCAGCAGGTTATCTGGAAGTCAGCACCTACGTGAAACTGGATCTATGTCAACTACTGGTGTATCATGCAGCAATGCAAACCTGAAGAGCATCAACCACGGTTTGTTGTGCCAGCGATGTTTTTGACATTGCAATCCAATGTGTGGCCACAATGGTTCAGGCCAATACAATGGAACAGAGAACTAGCTGCTCCTGTCTAGTGAAGCCTACCAGATGGCGACAACCAGCAGTAAGGGTAACCTTTACTACAGATGGACAATACTGTATGGTAATTAATTACATAAAATTTATACACAGAGGCCTCACTTGTATCGTCACTACTCCAAACTTCCGTTTTCCTCAGGTAAGCAGCACAGTGGGACACTATAATGTCTATCCCAGTTTTCAGAATAAGTCATTTATCCTAAGGTAGCCCCAATATCAGGATGAGGTTGAAACTTATCTACCAGTTTTTAATGTGCATATGAATCCACTTACTTTAAATTGAAAAGCATCACTAGATTACCCCCCCCCACATTACTCAAATTAGCAATGACATGTGCAAGGCAAAACAAGCTTTGAATGACCTTATCCATTATGGAAATCTTGAAATACTGATTTCCCACACTTGAATAGAAGTTGCCTTTAAAGCTTTTGTTTTACAAGGTGTATACAGTTATATAAGCTAGATAGGCCTTGTCAAGGTTCCTTCCCCACTCTGAACTCTAGGGTACAGATGTGGGGACCTGCATGAAAACCTCCTAAGCTTATTTTTACCAGCTTAGGTTAAAACTTCCCCAAGGTACAAATTATTTTCCTTTTTCCCTTGGACTTTATTGCTGCCACCACCAAGCATCTAACAGATATATAACTGGGAAAGAGCCCGCTTGGAAACGTCTCCCTCCCCCCCCCCCCCCCAACATCCTCCCCAAACCCTACACCCCCTTTCCTGGGGAAGGCTTGATAAAAATCCTCACCAATTTGCATAGGTGAACACAGACCCAAACCCTTGGATCTTAAGAACAATGAAAAAGCAATCAGGTTCTTAAAAGAAGAAAGTAAAAGAATCATCTCTGTAAAATCAGGATGGTAAATACCTTACAGGGTAATTAGATTCAAAACAGAGAATCCCTCTAGGCAAAACCTTAAGTTACAAAAAGACACAAAAACAGGAATATACATTCCATTCAGCACAGCTTATTTTCTCAGCCATTTAAATAAACGGAATCTAACGCATATATAGCTAGATTACTTACTGAGTTCTAAGACTCCATTCCCTTTCTGTTTCTGGCAAAAGCATCACCCAGATAGAGAGAGCCTTTGTTTCTTCCCCCATCCAGCTTTGAAAGTATCTTGTCTCCTCATTGGTCATTTTGGTCAGGTGCCAGCGAGGTTATCCTAGCTTCTTAACCCTTTACAGGTTAAAGGGTTTTTCCTCTGGCCAGGAGGGATTTTAAAAGGTGTTTACCCTTCCCTTTATATTTATGACAGGCCTATATCTTTGATATAATCCTGTTCTCTTATATTAAGTATCCCATAATGCCTTGCATTAGCTGAAGTAAGCTTTGGCATAAGCAGATAGGAAACTTGTCAAAATCAAGATACATTCGTTCTATGTCTTAGTACAAGCTAGGGAAATACCTTCATGGACCAGTACCTGAAATGCTAGTATCCAAAACAAAGGTAAGGAAGGAACAGAACAACAAGTTAGGAACTGGGACAAACTGAGGGGTTGGATTTGAGTGATGTGTAAAGGATGTATGACTTTCAAAATCATCATATAATTATAATACCAGATGAAATGTGTAACTCTGGCAGCATACCTTCTGTGTAATGTGACTGTAACCCTGCTGCATGAGACTGCTTCCCACAGACTGGTATTGTACTGAAAACTTTTCCTGTACTATATTATTATTGGCTTAGAACAATAAATCTGACTATGTGGGTTATTTGGTCTCTCGAGTATATTTCATAATGAACCAGTGTGGTCAAGCAATGGACTAGATCATTTATCAACAAAATAATATTTGAATCTGGAATCAGTCATACTTGGGAAACTCTGGTGGTGGCACAAGCTCTTTTCATACTCAAAACAAGATCTCCTCATGAGTAAAGTACCTCCAACTGCTACTTCCACTGGAATCAGTAGCTGCAGATATGGCACAACATGCTAATTTACTTATGTCGTCACTGGAGGACCATTTCACTGAGGCCTTCTAAACCAGTGGTTCTCAAACTTTTGTACTGGTGACCCTTTTCACATAGCAAGCCTCTGAGTGCGACCCCCCCTTATAAATTAAAACTGCTTTTTTATATATTTTACACCATTATAAATGCTAGAGGCAAAGTGGGGTTTGGGGTGGAGGCTGACAGCTCATGACCCCCCATGTAATAACCTCATGACCTGCTCAGGGGCCTTGACCCCCAGTTTGAGAACCCCTGTTCTAAACCAACACTGAGAGCACTCATGCCCATGTCATCCAGGTTTCTAACTGAGAGAGGCCTTCCCAGCTGCCTAGTCAGATTTATAAAAAACAACTGTTTCCCCTTGTGTCTGTAAATCTGGCTGCACGTCCCTGCTCAGAGACGATCAAGCATGGCCGTGCTGCTTGTGCACAGCAACACCTCCGGGGCCTGTCCACTGAGCTCCTCTGTTGGTGCCTGGCATTAGCTGCCACTTAAGAGCAGTATCTCCTTTTTTAGGCTGCTTCTCACACTCTTGGCCCCTCACTCATCTTTGAGCAGCTCAAGAGAACAAAGATTAGGGTAACAGATAATTGGAATCAAGAAAGGGGATGAGGGAGAGGTAAGAGAAGGATGAGAGCTGGGCTAAGCCCATTGTACCAGTCAATTATAACAAACTGACTGGATCTTACGCATTGAGCAGAGAGAATCATTAGGCATTAGCTTCCATCAAGCAGCCAATTTTTCAACAGCTACTACACATCCTCATTTTAATATTATTGTTCTCATCAGGTGCGGAATGTGATTTTTATGCTTTGCTGAAAATTCATCATTGTTGGCATTAATAATCAGACAGCACTAATTATCTTTGTTATGTCTCAAGTCATTAACTCAGAAATGTGGAGGACAACTAATTTCTGGGGGACAACACATTAATGCTACACACAATGGGTCTGATTTTGAACCCAGTACGTAAAAGAAGAATAACTCCACTGAAGTCAATAGAGTTACACCAGTATAAGTCTGAGATCAGAATCAGGCCCATATATTAGTATGAAGCTACTGATGCTTATAAACCGTGCATGTTGCAGCAGAGCTTACTACAGGCAAGTCACTCAAGTGTGTGATGCACAGAAGCTTGCGGCACCACATGATACCTTTGATCAGCTGTGGAGGAAGAAAACAGATGCAAACTGGTATTTTGAAATGAAAACTACTTAAGAAAAATGCTTGAGACAGCGCTAGAATCCTCAAGTACAACTGAAATATGGAACACATTTAACCAAAACATGGTTGCAGGTTGTATACAGGCAATACTAAGGGATAATGATGCCAAGCCAACATGCCTGTATGAAATATTTTCAAATTAAGAGCCAGACTGTTGCCAACCCCTAACCAATATATGCCCCTCCCCACTTGTGATACCCATGCAAAAGTTAGCATTGTCTGTAATCTTTGTGCTCCTGTAGGCACAATGACTGCTGGATAGCTCTGCTAACCACCCCAAAGGTGACTGGACTGGCTGGTTTTCCACAGGAGCACTGGGACCAGATCCTCACCTAGCAGAAATCACTGTAGTGCCATTGAAATCAACAGAGCTGTTCTGAATTACATCAGCTAAGGATCAGGCCTAGTGCATCCCCTGAGAGGGGAGCAAAGGGTCATGCTACCAGAGCTCCCACTGGAGCAGGGAACATCTGTAGTGTCCCCCGTGAAGGGCTATGCTTTCAAACACAGCTGACCCTAACTTCAGTTGTTTCTATCTTGCTTTATTACAAACAGGGCCGCAAAAGGTGGCCGAGAATGTAAACAGGGAATGTCATGGAAAATGGAATGCAGAGAGATGTATAGCGCAGTTATCAGCGCCTTCTTCTTCTAAGCTGATTGCAAATCAGGCTGCATAGTAAACTTTGTATTGTGATTACCCTCTCCTATTTTCCATATGTATCACTGAGATTAAACCAAAGCCTCTTGACTGGAAGCTAGTGACAATTCGGACGTACATCCTATCATCTGGGTTAAATTAAATTGACCAGGATAAGAGTAAATTCATTGGGTGGCTTATATCAAAACACCATAAACAGTTTCTCTTCTCAGCCATTCCAAAACTGTTTGTCCTCTTTTCAGGAACTCCAAGGTTATTCTGACCTGCTATGTGTTTAAACAAACAACAAAAACGAAAGAAAGCATGTACAAACAATTGTGATCTTACCTCAACATAGAGAATAGGGAAAATTCCAATTTTATCTCCCAGCATTCCTTCTGCCCAGTTATCATCTACTCGTCTGATAACTGTCAAAATTTCATCCTACATTCAGAGAGATAAAACCACACACAATACAAAGTTAGATTTTATATGGAAAGAGGAAAATGCTTTATGATAACCCTAAATTCATTATCTAATTAATACATAAGATTTCTTCAGCCTGTAACTGCCTGCATGCTGTATAGTGATTGGCATGAAAAAGGTCAGCATTTGCCAGTAATCTATATTAGAGTAGTACCTAGAAGGCCCAACTAAGATAATTGTGCCAGGCACTGCACAAACCCAAAGGGTGTCTTTACACTTTGAGCCGAAAGTGTACATTCCATCTTGAAGAGACATAACTGCTAACTCTGATCAACCTAGTGCACTTGTGAGTGTAGCAATGACAGTGCAAGCAGGGGGAGAAGCTAGCTCCCGTGAGTCCATCCCTAGAATCTCGGATAGGTATGTACTAGAGGCAGCTCAATTTTGTGTGTGCCAACTCAATCAGAGCTAGCACAGGTATGTTTCCTTGAGCTGGGATCTACATCTCCAGCTTCAAGTGTAGACACACCCATAGTGAGAGGCAGTCTTTGTTCCAAAGAGCTCACAGTCTAAACAGACAAGACAAAGGGTAGACAGAGGCACAGACATTAAGTGACTTGCCCAAGGGCATGCAGCAAGTCAGCAGCAGAACAAGGACTAGAACCCAGGTTTTCTGACTCTCAGTCCAATGCTGCACTTGCTGAATCATACTGCTCTCTTGTAGGCATAAAAACACTTTTACCCTACACTCTGAACAGGAAATAACTGTAGTAACAGTGTGGTTATCAATGGTGATTCACTTTGCAACAGCGACTACCGTGTGTGGTTGAATCTATGTTTCATTGCCAAATGCTCATACTGGCCCAAATCTTCACAGGTGAAGACGGAGCACAGGGCACAACTCAGCTGGTCCAAGATGGAGGGTGTATAAATGTGGCTTAAAGCCTTATTTGCCTACACATCATCCATTGTGGACCAGCTGTCCACCACACTGATCCTCCAAAATGTATTAAAACAGACTGCAGATTGTTCCCCAAGCCCCATGAGCCGATACAGCAGGTGTGGATCAACAGTTGTGACTATACCTCTGTAGCAGAGCGTACCTGGTTCTCCTGGCTCCTGCCTATGCTAGGCTCAGATAAAGTCACTCAGAGATCCTCGGGTTCTGAAACCACTGATGCGTTTATTTACAAGTTTGTGCTCCCACCACTTTCTCACCAGGCAGCGTGCACAGCTTTGGGTTCCTTGTGTCCAAACCCAGGAGGGAAGGGCTTTCCTTCTTTCCTGCCTGCCCTCCCTGGCTCTCCTTCGTCCCACCCCCTTTCTGCCTTCTTCCCAGCCTCTGATGTAGCCTTGGGCTAATTGGGCTGGCAGCTGGCTCTCATTCCCCTATTAGGGAAGGTTCTGTCCAGCCAGCTCCACTTTATTCGCTTAAATGAGGCTGGCGTGGCAGGGGGCTGATTCTGCAGCCCTCCTGCTCAGCACCCTATCACACACCTTCCCCATCTCCAACCACCAGGTTCGCCCATCTGTGTCCTCTTCTCCCCGTTCTGGATAGGGTCCTCCAGGGGAGCCCTCCGCTATCTTTCCCATGATCCTCTGGGTCCTCCTAGAGGGGTTCTGCTATCCCCCATCTGCAGAAGCCACATTGCGTGGGGGTTGGGCAGCCGCATAACTCTGCCGCCACCAAGAGGTTCTCGCACCAGTTACACCCCCAGGTGTGTCCCCCTTCCCTTTCTGCTTTTGCCCCTGCCAGAGGTTCAGGGTCAATCACAGTGCCCCCCTGGACCTCACATTCCTCAGACCTGTCAAGTGAGTCCTGAACCTGGTCTTCTGGGGGTCCCCATGCAGGGAGTTCAGTCGGGCCTTTCAGCTCCATGACAGGCCCTGGGGTGCATATGTCCTCCTGCCTTTGTTCCTCTGTTCCTTCCCAGGCTTGCCCCTGTTGTCTAGGGTTATTGACCTGAAGGACCCTCTCCCCCTTTCTCTGAGGGTGTTCCCTCTTTTCCATTTTAGGTTTCCTCCCCCAACCTTCCTTTTCTCTTGGGGAGGGTTCCCAGTAGGTTCCCACCACCACAGGGTATGGCAGGCCCCCTACTATCCCTATCTACATCCAGTGGAAGCGGCCCTGGACCTCCAGGGGCAGCTGGGCCATTGGGCACTGCCTCTTATCCCCCTGGATGCACTCCACACTCAGATTGACTCCAGGAATCACACTCGGGCTCTACTAGTCCCCTCCTTAAGGGGGAGCAGGCTGAGGCTGTGTCCACTAGACCACGCTGGGGTCTCCTCCCAACCATCAGGGGAATGATGGACAGCCACCTCCCTTTCCCTGGCCCTCTCATGTTGGTCCACCTGCAGAACTGGGTGAAATCACATTCCATGTCCAGGCAGTCCCCTTTTTTATGTCTGGGCCACCTGCACTGCCAGCAGATGATTGTCTTGGTCCCCATGGGAGCTCCCTGGTTGGTCTCCTGTTTCTTCTTGGGACCCTTCCCGGTCAGGGATTCCCCAATGTCCTCCTCTCTTTCGGAGTGCACAGGGAAGTCTGCCTCCGTGTACTCCTCTGTCAGTTTCACCGCTGCCTCTACCATACTTGGTTGGTGCTTTCGCACCCAAACCCTTAGGCCATGTAAAAACTGCTCTAAGACAAGCACATCCATAATCTCCCCCTCTGTCTGGGCATTAGGCCCCAGCCATCGGGTGGCCCAGTTCATTAATTTCTGGGCAAACACCAGGGGTCTCAAACTCCCTGTCCACTTTGCTGCCTGGAACCACTGGTGGTATTTTTCAGTGGATAGCTCCACCCGATCTAGAACAGCCGCCTTCACTGCATCATAGCTTCTGGCCTGCTCCTCGCTTAGGAGCATGTAGGCTGCTTGGGCTTCAGCCACCAGGTAGGGAGTGAGCTGCAGGGCCCAGGTTGCCCTATCCCAACCTGCTCCCATGGCTACCCACTCAGATGTGCCCAGGAAGGCATCAGGATCATCCATGGGGCCCATTTTACAAAGTCCCAGGCCCAGCCCCCAAATACCATCCCCCACCATGGGACTCACCATTCTCTGGAGGAGCGGCTGCTGTACGCTGGACTGCTCCTTTGCTGCTCGGCCTGCCAGCTAAGCAAGGCCTCTCTCTCCAGCTGGTGAGCCTGCTGAAAGCTTTGCATGGCCTTTTTCACCAGCCATTGCAGGGTCTCCTCTATCTCCAGGCTGCCAAACTCTTGTTCTGGCACAGGGTCCCAGAGAAGCCCCCACATGTAGCAGAGCAGAGCTGGCCCTCCCAAGTCCTACCTCTGCTAGGCTCCAATAAAGTCACTTACAGACCCTCAGCTTCTGAAACCACTGGTGCTTTTATTTACAAGTTTGTGCTCCCACCACCTTCTCGATTCCTTGTGTCTGAACCCAGGCAGGCTCAGCAGACCAGCCTCTATCCCACACTTCTGCTTCCTTCTTCCCAGCCTCTTATACAGCCCTGGGCTAATTGGGCTGGCAGATGGCTCTCATTCACCAATTAGGGCAGGTTCTTTCCAGCCAGCTCCACTTTATTCACTTAAATGGGAATGGCATGGTAGGGGGCTGATTCTGCTGCAGCCCTTCTGCTCAGCACCCTGTCACAACCTCCTATTTCAAGTGCAGGACAGGCAATAGTATAGGAGCCACTGTGTTGGCTCTATGCCACTGGAGAATTGCCCTAAACCTGCTTTTGGGTAATTTTTCAGTGTAAACTGGCCCCGGTGCAGGTGTTCCATTTCAAAATAAAAATTAATTTCCAAAACAGAAGTTATAATTTCCAACATAGCATGATATGATTAACAGACCAATTGGACGCATTTATATAATGAAATGACAATATACCACCTTCCCAAAAAGAAAGAAGAAAAAAAAAGCAAAGTACAGTTGAAGGTGCAGACAGACTAGATTGCACGAGTGACTCACTAGGAGATGCACAGTGAATTGCTGATTTTTGTAAATTAGTAGTTGAATGATAAACAATAAACAAAGAAAAAGCAACAATGCAGTACAAAATGTACTTTGTTCAAACTTTTTGTCAACGGCAGTTTAGTTTTACTTATGTATACTAGTAAATGTACTGTTGTATGGTATATTTTATAAAAATAATGAAATCTTATTATTCTGAGATTTCATTTCAGTGCACCTCTATTAAATCTTGGTTGAAGGGTATGGAAAGACCACCAACTCTTTTGCACATATTATACAGCATGAGATTTAGAAAACTGTTGATTAGTAAATTCCTACGTAAATTCCTATTCAGCATTTCCAGGCAGACAAAAATCGAAAACATGCTAATGATTAGGAAAGCTCTTGCTGCTTAGATAGAACTCTGAGCTACCTCAGGGTGAGCCACTGAATTCACTGACTGAATTGCATGATCATTTCTTGGTGCTGGGTTCACTATAACAACTTGAGAACTGAGCCGGCACCTGTTGTAACTGAGGAGTCCTCCAGAAAGGCATGTGGCAGTGGTCCTAAAGTGAAATGCCATGAGGCCATTAAATGTTTTCTGTGACAGGCCATTGAAGGAAGAACAGGGAGGACTGATTTGGATGACTTCTGAAAATGAAGCTCACCATTTGATTGATCCCTTATTTCATCAAACCTTTCTCTTCCATTCCTGCGAAGAAATTCAGTGATTTCCTCAAAAGCTACTCATGGGTTTTCCCTGAAAAGATTGGAAACAGAGTACTGGCATTTCTTGGACTACTTTTCCATTTATTAACATTTTGGGAATGACGGATGCAGGTGTCCAGCAATGTTGCATACATCTGTGTAAGTGGTACAACTCTCTTGGTCAATGAATTTATAAGCTAGTGGACAGTGCTGTTTTTGCACGTTTTTCTCAAATTACAGAAAATACCTCCTAGGTTGTTTGGCAATGGATTCCACTTGACCAAAGATTATCATAGTTTGCAGCTTTGGGGCATGTACACTTGTACAGAAACAACTCAAATAAGTTAAATAATTCCCTTGATCTGTTCACCTCACAACCCATAAGCAGAA